ACACAGAAGACTGAGAAAAAGGTAAAGAAGGATAAAGTTATGTTCCCTGAGATGCGAAGAAAAGAATGCACACATAAAGGTCTGTATTGCGTAACTGCTCTCCGTTTTATGAAATCTCAGCTCTTTTTTTCCTTTTGTACTGGTATTGTTTTAGGGTGTTTTCTTTTCTGCTGTTCATCTGCACCAAGTTAGGAGGATGTGAGTGACATTTGGCCAGCGCCACAAGAGGCTTAGGTTAGAACACAGCGCTGAACGTCAGCTAGCGAGCGGAACAGGGCGTCTCGTTTTCGTAAGAGTTTTACGGCACTTGCAACACAATAAAGTCATATAAGTGCCGAAAATTAGATGTGTTACAAGAGAGTAACATACACAAAAAAAGAAAAAGGAGAGACAAGGACGACATATGTTTTTTAAAAAAAGTTTTAGTAGAGTTTTACGGCGCTCGCAAATGCATTAGGTCATATGAGCGCCAGAAGATTGGAGGTGTTACAAGGGAGTAACAAACATAAAAAAAGAAGAAAGGGAGAGATAAGGACGATATATGTTTGATTGGAAAGAAGAAGCAAACCACACCAGAGCACCCGCCAACCACCCACCGTAAGAGTTTTACGGCACTTGCAACACAATAAGGTCATATAAATGCCGAAGAATAGATGTGTTACAAGAGAGTAACATACACCAAAAAAAGAAGGAGGAGAGATAAGGACGATAGATGTTTGATAGGAAAGAAGCAAACCGCACAAGAGCACCCGCCAACCACCCACAGGGGAGGTAAGGACGGTAGATGTTTGATAGGAAAGAAGGAGAAAAACCACACCAGAGCACCCGCCAACCACCCACCTCTGTGCTGAACGTCAGCCATGGAGCGGAACAGGACGTCTGGAAGTAGATGTTATTTACCTCAAAATACCGGAGAAGCAGGGGTATAATAGCGGACACAGAGGCTTATGGGGAATACAGACGTTTGTACTTTCGGTGAAAGGTTGTCGGAGAGAGGTCGGTTAGCTGTGTAGATACAGGGGAGAAAGTGGG